CATGTCGTAAGTAGGGAATAGCCTTAACATACCTTTTATCCGCTAAATTCACGTGGCCTAACGACTTTTACTCATAACTCCCTCGATACTCGATCTTAGGTTCGTAATTCACCTCAAAACCTTCAAATATATTCAAACCCCTGCTGTCCCAACTCTAAAATGTGATATGCTACGCAATCGATAAAACAAATTATACCACGATGATGAGCCCAACGCGTAGAACAACTTTCGTCAAGGACTTAAGTCGAGAAAATCTATACTTAACTTGATCCTAGAAATGGGTTTCTCTAATTTCTCTGGTTTCTAACTTAAAAATGAAGAAAAAGATCGAAGAAGAAGATATATGTAACAATCCACCGACTTAGGGCCCCACCTCACGTGCCTGCTTGCGCAGTCCCACGAAAATGCGAATATCTCTCTATTCTGAAGTCGTATGAACAAACGGTTTGATGCGTTGGAAACTAGACTCGTAGACGTTCAATTTCATAGTTCGCGGGGACCATAACTCTTAATAGATTGGGAGAAAACGTCCGAGACATTTGACCCAAATTTCAGACAAATCTTTAAAAAGGAATTTACGGTAACTTTCGCCAACTTTTATTTTGCCACTTACCTAGCTTCAAACCTTGAGATACAACACTTGAACACTTAAAATATCACATAACACATCATTTTTAATTTATTACTCACCCTCCTTGTCTTTCCACGAAGATACGAGTTAATTTAGACGTTTTGAAAAGTCGGGGTGTTACACTTACTTTGACAAGTAAGCCAACAATATACCTAGTATGTTATTAATAAGTAGAGTCTGAAATACACAAATCTTATCCTCCTCGAGAGTGAGAGCATTGATATATGGTAGGATAAACAAACTTAGGCAAGCACGCAGATAGATATATAGTGGCTTGGAGGATTGCTATTTAAGGCATATCCAAAATTGTAAAGTTTTTAATGTTTAGTCGTTTCAAAGTCAACTTCACACCTTACGACATTGAAATTGAAAATTTCAGATTAAGATTTTTAATTGAAAAAATCCAGATTTGGATGCAATTTAAGACCTCTGATAAATTTTCTTGTGATGTAAATTTAGTGTGATATGAATATGTTTTTTCATGAAGATTGGACTGACAGTTGTGATTATAATTTGTCAATATTGATTAAAAACTAAATACTTTGAGAAAGTTAGATATAACTTAAATATGACACCTAAAATCGGCTACATGTTTGCAAATCAGACGGTTGAGCCCACCAAGATTTTCAAGTTATCTCAGTATTGGGCTCTAGTTGATTGCAGGTTCCTGTTCCATGGGCTTGGTTTGGGCTTCCTACCACATTGGTTTAGGCTTTCTTTTTGTAATTTTCATTCCTCCAATGAAGATTTTCATACATTGACAATTAATACAAGTAGTCTTTTTACTAAAATTCTATAACTTCTAGACATAAAATATTGATCAATTTCTTTTCATATATCTAAAGCACAATAGACAGGGTTATTCGATATTTATGATGGTCGATACAATGAATCTTCACAGATAGTTAGTTCATACTAGTGTTGGTGGGAGACAACAAATAGTTGATGTGCAAACTTAGTGTTGGTGGGAGACAACAAATGTTTGACATAATATAGTAGGCAATTTCTTTTTATATGCCTAAATCTCGATAGACTAAGTTATTCGATGACCGGAATACAATTAAACCTTGATAAACAAAGTAATTATTCAAGGTGAGAGATAACAAATGCCTGAATATAATTGAGGTGCGAACAAGATAATCTGAATAAGATATATAAGCTGTAGAAAATCAACTTCAAAATTGAAATTATCCAACATCCAATGGTAAAACCAAAATTAATCAAGCTAATAATTAACCTTTTAAAACAAACTATCTCAAGAATTTGAACTCAAAGCAACAAATAATTTTTGAAGTATAATAAAGGCCCAAGCACATGCAGTACTCATTTGGGAGTGATTCTTAGAGAATATTATCTTAGGAAAAAAGGCAAGTTATTATTGATCATACTCATTAATGTCGTACTTTTATAACTTCTTTGCTTTTAATTAAAAACTAGGCCAGTCAATCATGTCTTAGTGAACTTACTGTCTATTACTAATTTAATCATTTAAATATAAATGTGATTAGCAAGTCATCATATATAATTCTAGTTTTTTCGTCTCATAAATGGCAAGTAGATAATCACCTTATAAGCTTTGTCGTTACCTATACACAAAAATTCACCTTTTTTATTGGATGATATTTTATTTTCTTTTGAATCAATCTATGCATTATAAAAAATATTCACAACATATACATAAAATATAATCACACTCATTTTGAACGTCTCAGTAACTTTAAGCTAGACTATAGCATACAAGTTTGGCCGAAGTCAGGAATTTCAATCTAAACTTCAAATTGTCTTAAGTAATTCATTCTGTCTACATGTACAAATTAGTAATTTGAAATCCAGTAACTTAAAAAGATTCAAATTCTCGAATCATAAATTTCAAATTTTAATTCTACCCGTAACTTTAATTTGAGTTTGTCAATAATTATTCATAAGAATTAGTTTAAAAAGAATAGAACCAAGGATATTAATTATTACCATGCTAACATGATTATTTGAATCAGGACTTTTGATTTTTCAGAGTGAGTTAATATTATATCATAGTACAAGACATGATTATTACTTGGAAGTTAATGAAATTAACAATCTAAATAAACAAATGTACTTTGAAAAGACAGCAAAAGCCCATACATATGATTTGGTCACATGGTTAAAGAATTAAAACATCATCTTTTTCCAATTTTCATAAATATATATAACCTTATTATAGCCAAAACTTATAACAAAATACAAAGGCTTTTGTCTTCTAACATCAAAGAGGAACAACAATAATGTACACTAACAAAGCTTCTATTCAAAGAGAAAGCTTTGTTATTCAAGTTTCAGAAAATTTTCAATCTTCATCCCAAGCTATTAGCCCTTCTTCTAATAAATTAATCAATTTCTCCGCCATGAAGCTTTTCGATCGCTTCCGCAAAATCGTCATGCGGTTCGTTTTCCCCGTCCCGACGTCCGGCCGGAGAAGGCCGAGTCGGGCTGGGGAAACAATGTCGGCTTCTGGGCCGGGCTCAGGACAGAGACGGAGATCCTGTGACCGGCCCGATCCACCGAAGACCTCATGTAGCTCCTATTATTCATCAACTTCTCATTATAATGAAGCTATTGCTGATTGTATAGAGTTTTTCAATAAGTCATCACAAGATCAAGGGATTTTTAGTGGTAGAAAATCGGACGTTATTGTGTGATTTTTTTAATTTTTTTTTTGGCTAAATTAATTAATTATGTGCAACCATGCTTGTAGCTTGTGTTGTTTATTTATTTTTTTAATTTTATGAGTTCAAATTTGATGTTGTAAATTTAAACATAGTTGTATATGTGGAATAGCTGATTTGATTTTCTAAATCTACACAATCTATTCAATTACAGGATTCCCATAAGAAAATATGAGCAATAATTCCCAAAATATTAATTTCTGAAAATCGAGTCCAAATCGACCTAAAAAGTCGTACATTTTTCCTTGTCAAATTAACTTCAAAATTGGAGTAAAATATTACTATATAATTAACTCTATTAGAACTCCATTTTCCGATTAATTTCAAACGAGATTCACCGCAAAAACCTTGTCTTTAAATAGATACTATCGGAGAATGATTTATTTTTAATTTTTCTGACGAAATTTAGCTATTCTCGAAATTTTGTAAAACTCATTCGAGATTTATATTATTACAAGAAGCAAAAGGAATTACATGTCATAATTAATAGTATATCTCTTATTGAAAATTTTACACAAAGAAATCAAATATGAATGTTAACCAACCTTACCTTTCACACTTTGATTTCAAGCAAAACCATTGGAAAATTATAAATGAAACTCCTTCCACATCAAGTTATGAAGATTCAAACAGGACACAAGCCTTGAGATCTCTCTTTTGTTCGCGCATTTTAAATTCGAGAAGATTGAATATTATTATCAGAATTACTACCTCTCTTCCTAGAAAAAAATCCCCCAATCAATGGAATAATTAGGGGTATTTTTATCTTCTTCTTCTTATTGATTGAAGGATGGTTTTGTAAGACAACATGATCATGATCACCTTGTGGAGGATTTGCAAATGTGACATATCTTTTTTTGTGAAACTCAACATTATTTTGATCATGTGACATAATTTGTGATTTCTCTATAAATTTTAGGTCTTCGATTTCTGATACCATGACTTTTTGTTGCTCAAATTTTAGCTTATCAAGCTCATTTCTTGTGCGTTCAAGTTCTTCTTCTAAAGAAGAGAGACAAGTAGCCATTACCAATCTTTCTTCTCTTGCCCTTTCTAGTCTTTGCTTTGTTTCAATTAACTCATCATTAAATGAGTCGTCGCTTTCGTCTTCATGACTCGATCCATCTTGTTTCTGAAAAAATAATAATTAAGTTATATATACTGGCAATGTAAATAATATTTATAACATCAGCGTGAGTTACATACCTTGTTGTTTGCAAGTAACATAATTTGATGATTTACTAATATTTGATGAAAATGTAGGGAACTTGAACTTCATAAAATGAACTACTTCATTGTATAGTTATTAGAATCTTTAATCTAGGTTTATATATGCTTGAAATTAAAAGATACTTTGGTTAGTTGGTTAATCCTCTTTTTCACTATATATATCAGTCTTAATTTTATTCTCCAACATCATGAAAAAACATATACTTGTATTGCAGCTTAAGCAAACGTTTCTTTTTCTTCTTTTACTTCTTAATGTTGCATATTAGAGATTACACTTGTATGTGTTCAAGCCATATGAAAATAGCCTCTTGCAAAAGTAGTTTCATACAATAGACTTAATACATTAATTCATGATAATGTATGTGTACATCCTATGTACCATCCCAAAACGGACACTTTTTGAACACTACAACCCATAAATGAGCGAAGTGTCCATTTTGGTATGTGTTTTTAGGGAGAGTCCCTTTTGGTTTGTAGCGTCCAAAAGGTGCCTGATTTGGGGCCGGACTCATGATACCTAAACCCGTAGGGTAAGATTATACTGGATAGATTATTATTTTATACGGTATAAAGCAAATATACACTATTATATCCCCTAAGAGACAACTACATATAATTGTGACACAAAGTGATTTAATCACTAAATTGAAAAATAATAAGACAAATTACGTGCTACAAATATATTAAAAGTACTCTTATATAGTTTAAAAATTATGTATATTATCCGTATATATAATATGAAGTGGAGAATAGATGATGTATATTACCTGTTTAAGCTTATTAGCAGAGTAGAGCTCTCCAGCAAGAACTCTTTCTCCGAACAACATGACTGCCTCCTTAACCGAACGAAATGGAGCACTCGTATCGATTTCCGCCTTTCCCATCATCGTCACTCCTCCTTCTAATTCTTCCATATCGTTTATTATCAATTTCAACACTATTATCGATCGAATGTAATGTATGTTATGTTTGTAGGAGTGTGTTAGATGAATGAGAGACTATAAAAGAGCTCAAAAAGTGGAAACAAAAGAAGATGAGTAAGTGGAGCTTCGTTTCTTCAAGTCCACTTCACTAGAATTATTCTTCCTTGTAAGTTGTACCACTTTCTTTTGGTAAAATATATAATTGATTCAAGTAGAAGCTTAGGCAAATTGGGCTGGACTGTATGGGCTTTTTTTTGGTTTATTTATTGGGCCTACTTTGATTTTGACTTATGAAAAAGACGTTTTTAACCTTGAGCCCAACCCACATGAATAAGTAACCTTTGATATTTTCGTTATTTTTCAAAATAGGGCCAAAATTAATAATTCTTGTAAAGTTATTACGTAATGTTCTTTGGATTGAGCCGACATTCGTTACAATTACGATCAATCTCCGAGGTAAAAGCTATTTTTAACACTTTTACAAGACTATCCAGGCGAATAAATAGATTACCAATTTGTACACGTTTATAAGATTTGCCTATTTCAAAAAATGCACAACACACATTTTTTTGATATACAATAATAATAATTTCAGTTGAATTACGCTTATATATTATACAACATGTGAATTATATATATACCCTGAAAAATATAAAACATACACACTTATTGCATATTTGATATAAAAATAATACAGTAATTCTAAATAGATATGAAGTCTAAATAGATTTTGCTGCAGAATAATTACTTTTGATTGCATAAACATTTTCAATAATTTTTCACTAAGTATTAAAACTGGCATTTTATCCACAATAGTAAGGACACACTCAGTGGGTCAAACATACATTTGAAACTCCGACAGAAAACCAAAAGCAAACAAAAGAAAGTGAAAAATCCAAGCAGCTCTCTTGTCAACATCGTCTTGTCCGCCACAACCTGGAGAAAATTTGGCACTCTTGTCATTTTTAGTATGTTCTACAAATATTATAATATTTGTTAAGTTTAAACTTCTCTATTTTATGATATATAAATATAACTGTAAAAAAATATAGTATTATGATATGTCTAGAATATTAAGTTGTAAGTGTACTTATATGCCAAGAGTTTTATTTCGTGTGCTTTGGTTTAACATGAGAACATGAATTTTAAGAAAACTGACTCGATAATTGAGCAAACTAATTCATAAAAAAAGTAATGAAATATTTGTTTATAACAAATTTTAAATATGTTGAAAATAAATTAACCATGAATAAAATATGAAAAAACGAGAATATTATTGATAAAAATAATATGGTTACAATTTATGAATTTACAGAATATTCGAGATACTTTTTAAGGTAATATAATACCAAAAATCATAATTGAAATCGAATACATTTGTAGAATCCTGATTAGATGAACAAATTCTCAATACACATAATTTTATAAAATCCAAGAGCGTATCATACAGAATTGATATCTCCGAGCAGAGAAGGGAAGAAAACTCCTGCTACGGTTAAGTTTCAACACTGTGAAAGTAACGAACAGTTGGGTAGTTAGCCAGCCATATACCAGATTCTTATATTCTTTCATTAAATCCCCACACATATATTATTTTTTATTAAAATCCAACTGTTCAAACTTACTATCAATTACTACTTTTTAGTGTTAAAAGTTAAGATCTTCACACACTCTGTTTCAACCTCACCATTTATTGTCCCCCTTTTTTTCTCCGTCACACAATTGAATTGATCTCACTGTTACCCAAAATGTCGGTCACCGTTAGCTCGCCGGCCGTCCGATCCTTCCATGTTTCACGATCACCTCATAAAACGATCTATAGGCCACGTGTCATTATGTCTGCCGTCCGATCTAGTGATAGCTTAGGAGTAGCACCAATTTTGACTAAGTTGCAGAAAGACTGTGCTACTCCTCTCCCAGTTTTGCGCCACGTGGCGGATGCAATGGCCGATGATATGCGGGCCGGGCTTGCCGTCGATGGCGGCAGTGATCTGAAGATGATCCTTAGTTATGTCGACACTCTACCAACTGGGTAAGCTACTAATTCTTTTATTTTATTTTTTTGGTTCAGTTGCTTATGGAAGGTGATATTTTTTGTTTCTATTATAAATTACCCGTTTCGAAGAATTAACCTGAATAGTAATATTTGTATTCTGTGCATACTGGCTAGAAAAAATAAACAAGTTGGTTAGCCAACTAATTGGGTAAAGATCCCATTATTTTTACCTATTTTAAGCTATTGTTACTTTTTGGTATTGGGTGTACTTCACAAGTTTAATTTGATGGGCATAATCATAAGGAGTTACATGGTTTAAAGACTTGCCATGAAATATGTTTGTCATCTCGTCTAAAAGCTGAAAGTTGAATAATTGTATTATGTTTGAACACGCGGTCACATGTGAGCTTGATTTTTGTTCATGGGACGAACACATTGAAATTATTTTTTTCTTTTATGGACAGCGATGATATTTGAATCAATAATCTCTGTTTGCTTTGATACCATACTGATGTATGTGACTATCTGGTCTAAAAGTTTGAGCATGTTTTAGTGTCTTGATTATATATTACTCCCTTCGTTTCATTTATATGTCTCTAATATTTCCAAGTATACTTTCTATTTGTTCACTTGTTTGATTGTTGAGCTTGTTCTTATATATGCTACAATATTTTAATGATTAATGAAGGAATGAGAAAGGCTTGTTTTATGCGTTGGACCTTGGTGGTACAAATTTCCGAGTGCTAAGGGTGCAGCTAGGTGGTAAAGAAGAGCGTGTAGTCGCCACTGAGTTTGAGCAAGTCTCTATACCCCCAGAATTGATGTTTGCTACCTCCGAGGTTGTTTAGTTTTTCTTGTTATAATGGGACTTGACCAATACTATCTTTTTTGTTGTTGTTGTATTCATCTTTGCATCGGTTATTGTAGGAGCTGTTCGATTTCATAGCTTCTGCGCTAGGAAAATTTGCACAAAAGGAAGGTGGTAATTTTGAGTTGCAACAGGGACGGACAAGGGAAATAGGATTCACGTTTTCTTTTCCAGTGAAACAGACTTCAATAAGAACTGGAATCCTAATCAAATGGACAAAAGGTTTTGCTGTCTCTGGAACTGTTAGTATTTCTTGACTCTCTTATTTGTGTAAAGGAGTGGCAGATGTTAGACATCTTACTAATTTAGCCTATGACTGGTTCTGGAACCATACATTGCTAAGATGGCCAATCAATTCTGCGTTATTGTAGTTTCAGTAAAGATGGTCAATTTCCCTCAAACTACTAAAACTTCCAACGAATGTTTTTACCTTTTTCTGAAACAAGCACCGGAATCATCTATTTGGTAAAATCCTGTAATTCCATCCCCAATTGATTGTGCATGTGAGATTTTCTGTTTTCTGGACAACAGAGTGTTTCATATAGTGAGTCCATTTTTTCCAGATACAACAATTTTTTTTTTAGAGTACTGGTTACTGTATGATGACTGATTAGTAAGTTGTGTAATTAGAGGGATCATTTCATCGCTTTGATCTTACAAGTTGAATCAGAAAATACTGGATTCCAAACTAGTAGAGAAGAGTTCCTTAACATTGATTTTTAACTTTGTCTCTCTTATCATTATCATTTTCATTTTACCTGTCGATTACTTTTTGATTCCATCATAACATGGAACAGGCAGGAAAAGATGTTGTTGCTTGTTTAAATGAAGCCATGGAGAGGCGGGGAATGGATATGCAAGTGTCTGCCCTGGTAGGTTCTTGCTCAACTTCATGTATATTGTAGAAATGTTGGAGAATAGTCTGGCGCTTCCTTAGTTCAATCGTTTCATGATTTCATTGTCAAGTTAGGTCAATGACACTGTGGGAACACTTGCCGGAGCAAGATACTGGGATGATGATGCCATGGTTGCTGTCATTCTTGGGACTGGAACCAATGCTTGCTATGTAGAACGTGTGGATGCTATTCCTAAGCTGACAAAAAGGATGTCCAAGTCTCCAATAACGGTAAGTAGAGCCCAAATCTCCTTCGTCAAGTTATTTCATGAGCAGATTTTAGCAACCATTGAGTTCGATACATCATTATATTTTAGATTGTGAATACTGAATGGGGAGCTTTCTCAAATGGCCTTCCTTTAACTGAGTTTGATAGAGAAATGGATGCCGAGAGCATTAACCCTGGTGAGCAGGCAAGTATTATTGACTCAAAATGTGAAAATTTCTTTTCTTCGTATACTTGGTATCACACTGTTTCTTCATGGTCTTTTCTACTGTCTTATTTCTTGATGAAGATTTTTGAAAAGACCATCTCCGGTATGTACCTTGGGGAAATTGTGAGACGGGTGCTGGTCAAAATGTCCAAGGTTGGGGGCTTATTTGGTGGCAGCTATGTTCCGGAAAAGTTAGTCACTCCATTTGTGCTGAGGTAATTACATTTGTTATATCAGAAGTTTATGATGCAAATGTTTTCGGAGAAGTATTAGTTTTGTATTAATTAGTCTCGTACTCTTCTTGTTTTTACTCACTCTGTCTGATCTGCATCATATAGGACACCTGATATATGTGCCATGCAGCAGGATACATCAAGAGATCTTGAAGCTGTTGAATCTGTCCTCTATGATGTAGCTGGGGTATATTACTTAGCTCTCGTGTTTTAACTTACATTGCAATACTCTTTCCGGTCACGTATCTTCTAGGCTAATTTTTTTCCTATTGAATACTTGTTGTCCAATAATCGATTCATGAAGAACCTTACATTTGAAGATCTATATTCATTCCAAAGACAACATTCAAAAGGATAGTTTAGCATCTGTTTCCATAAACATGGAACATTTTCCAGAGTTACGTTTATAGATATGAACACATAATAACAACAACTACTATTACGCCTCAATCCCAAGCAAGTTGAGGTCAGCTATATGAACTCTCATTGTCCATGTTGTTAAGGTCGTCCATCCTATTCTAAAAAAATTAGTCTCTCTAGCACTAGAAGTTCTTTACAAAATATTTTCATAGAGTATGAAAGAAGTCTACGAACATTTTGATGTTCACAATTTTGCTTTCGATTATTAATTTTCAGGTAAAATCCGATCTAAGTGCAAGGAAAACAGTCGTGGACATTTGCGATACTATTGCAAAACGAGGGGGTCGTCTGGCTGGTGCAGGAATTGTTGGGATTCTACAGAAAATGGAGGAGGATTCTAAAGGCCTCATCTTTGGTAAAAGAGCAGTTGTAGCAATGGATGGAGGCTTATACGAGCACTATCCTCAGTACAGAGGATACCTCCAAGAAGCTGTCACAGAGTTACTAGGCTCGGAAATTTCGAAAAATGTAGTGATAGAACATTCAAAAGATGGTTCTGGAATTGGAGCTGCATTATTAGCTGCTGCAAACTCAAAGTATGAACATGATTATTAAGGAGAATGCTAAATTTCATGTCTTCAAAGGTTTGCTTGAGGAAAAATTACATGAGCATTTGTAATTTTCTTGTAATTTAGAATGTTCTAAGAAGGATTGATCATTGGACTTCTCATTCTTTAAGTAGAGGCTCTTGTTTGTGATGCCATTTTTGTACTCCCATTAGTGATGTACGAAGAAGTGAGGATTCATATAGCCAACCCCAATTTGTTTGGGACCGAGGCATAGTTGTTGTTGTATTATGCAGCAGTGACTTATTTATGTGATAAAAGCAGATGTATCAGTAAATATAGAACATCTTGTTTGTTTATAATTATGAAATAAGCACATTTCTTTGGTGTTTTAGAATTTTCTCAGTTTTGTTTCTTATATTGGTTATTTTTAACCAAAATTTGATAAATGACAAGATCTTGAAAGTTATAAATTTTTATGACATTCACAGATCAAAAGTTTAGACATGATTCACAGCCATATATGGACTGCATAGTGCATCTATGAGACAAACTCAGAATGCAATGGATGACTTTAATTCAGTATTGAATGAAGAACATAAACAAACTGGCTCACCTGTACTAGTGCAGATTGAATGAATTTGATGTCCACTTCTCAGGTGCTAATTGTGGAACCACAGTTCTCGAGTTGATTTCGTAGATGGTGACTCAACTAATAGTTATTATCTCAGATGACTTTCTGTAGCTACAATCAACTGTTGGGTAGGACTTAAGTACAGAAATTACAGTCACACAGATAAAGAGATAAGTGAAAGAGTCAATTACTTGAAGGACAATAGAAAAGTTATTAGATGTAGATACTTGGTCCAGAAATTTTGTAACTAGATAATTTTCTTTGTTTGAGGCTTTAGAGGAGAGGGTACACTACCTAGAGGATGACTTATCTTCCTAAAGTACTCTCTAGGTGTAATTATTTGGACGTTAATAGTAATTCGAGAATGGTGGGACTAAACAAAAAAAGATTAAACTACAAAGGAAAAAAAACAAATATACTCCCGAACTATCGTTAATGGTATGCAGATATTATTAGTCATATTTTTGGGACATTAGTGCCCCTGCCTAAAAAACTAGAGCATATATACCCTTTATACTAACGGACATACACGTGTCAGAATCTTATCTACCGACCCGACATTTATTAAATATCGGATCGACGGATAAGATTGCGTCACGTGTCCTTATTTAGTCTTCCGTTAGAGTGAAGGGCATATATGCTCTAGTTTTTGGATGCAAGGGCACCAATGTCCCAAAAAATATGACGGAGGATATCTACATACAATTTAAGATAGTTCGGAGGTATATTTGTCCTTTTTCCCAACTATAAATATCAGAAAGTCTCATCAAATCCTAGAAACTACAACACTAATATTATATGAAATAACAAAAATTGCAAAAATCATACCTCCTATTTCCAAATATGAGTTCCCGCTAAACCTCCCCACCCCATAATTCTCATCAAATCTAACAAACAAAATTTGTGAAATATTTAACGGAGATCAAAAGTTTTCACTTTTGACAAACATACAAAACCAAACTAATAGAAACATAGGGAAAAGGGTCAAAAATATTTCCAACTTTCATTTATTAGTTTATCTTATCTTGCCATTATTCAATACACTTACCGTTAATATTGAGTTATTCAACCCTTTTCCCAAAAAACTTATTGTAGGAACAATTTTAAACCATAACTCCAAACATAAGGGACTATTTTGTCATTTCCTGAAAACAAGGTGAAAATTCTTCTCTGGCACCTCAGTTCTGACCCCTTGGGGCTTTTGCTAGTTTTTACAAATTAAAGAATCAAAGAGATTTCTCCAACTTTTTTCAATTGTTTCTCCAGCTATTTTGCCTGCAGATCTTCTGAACAAAATGGTAACTTTTTCCTCTTCCCTTTGATCTCACTGAAAATTATTTGGTAGCAGAAATTACAATCTTTTTGTTTTCCATTTCATGAATTTGCTGTTTTCATTTCTCTTCTACTGTATTGATATTTGATCGTTTGTTTTCAACTGGGTCATTTCGAAAATGGGTAGATCCGTTTTATATTGCTTCAGAACAGGCAAGGAAAGACTCGTTTGGCTAAGTATTATATACCTCTTGAGGAATCCGAGAAGCACAAGGTGGAATATGAGGTATTTTAGTTTTTTTTTTGCTTTTTTCTTAGTTTGATTATGTGAATTTGGTGATTTTAGATTATGGGTTTTGATTATATGGTCAATTTGGATCATGTAGGTTCATCGGTTGGTGGTGAATAGAGATCCCAAATTCACCAACTTTGTTGAGGTAATGAAGTCTGAATTTTTTAATTTCAGTTGATGGAAGCTAGCATTTTTCTGATTAAGCCCTTTTATATCTGTGGAATTGAGTTTAACTAGATCAGCTTGAAATGCAAAAGGCAAAAATGTGATTATCTGTTTTGTTTTCGATCTATAGAACACCATACTAAGCGAATTTGCTGCAATTGTGCTAAGGCAAAGGGGAGACTCTTTCGCTAGTCTTTAATTTTCTAAAAGTATTAATGTTTAACTATCTTATCGTATTTATCTTCCATTGCATCATAAATACTTGTTATCAAAGGAATAACTTTGTGAAATGATTGAAGGATAGGGAGTGGTGGGGGATTCAAGAACAGTTTATTGTTCAAAATTTAACTTATGTGTAGAGTAACCTATGTTATGGCTGAGTATGAAATTCTTATTGAGGCATTTCTCCATACCTACATGTTGTTTCCTAATTCAATCTCTTGGCTTTAGAGGTTGGAAGAGAGTGGGAGAGTGGAGGGAGGGAAGGATCAAGAAAGAAGAGCCTTTTTCCCTTTTGCTTGTGCATGATAAGAGGATTTGTTTAGAATCATATACCGACCACTTTTTATGCATTCATTCTGGCTTCAATATTGGTGTTATATTCCTGGATCTGATTTCTTAAAGAATCGAAAAATGTCAACCTGCAAAAGGAAACAAAAGATGCATTGTGTTTTAACTTTGTTGGGCAATCATTTCTCATCAGATGCTCCGTGAAGCATAACCAACTATTTAAAAATCCTCAATGACATAAAGTACAAAGCAAGATATCGGAAAGAAGCTCTTTGGTTCCTGAAGTAAGTGATTTATCCTTGGAACTGTAAGGGGGAGGTAAAGCAAAGGAAGGGAGAGAAAACAAGTTTGAGGTTTGAACTTGTGTATATTGTATTTTGTAAAATAAGATAGAAAACAACTGAATGTGAATACTAAAAGGGAAATCAATACCTTTTCTGCTGAAACCTCAGCAGAATTGATGAAAGAAGTGAATCTAGCGATTTTTATTTTTTTTGATGATGGAGCTGCTTAACTTACTTCAATAATAGGTTGCATGAGATTTACATATCTGGCTGATTCACTATTAGTTTTGAGTCTCCACTTCTTTTCAGTTTTTGTGTAGATATGTTCCTTGATAAGTCACTAATAACTAACACCTGCTTGTTATATCCGCTTTGCAGTTCCGTACCCACAAGGTAATATACAGAAGATATGCAGGATTATTTTTCTCACTTTGTGTTGATATCACAGACAATGAATTGGCTTATTTAGAGTCCATCCACTTGTTTGTGGAGATTTTGGATCACTTCTTCAGCAATGTCTGTGAGCTGGATTTGGTTTTCAATTTCCACAAGGTTAGACATTTCTCATCAAACGTTGCTACTTATAGAAGCAGCAAAGTTTATAACATCTTTCTTTCCTGTGATCCCTGTTGTGACACAATGGTCCTTTCATTGGTTGTAAATCAATCAATATTCTCGTTGAATTTTCTAAGTTGCCTGTTAAATGCTGCTGTATTTTTCTTTTTATATTTTTGTGCCGGCTCTCCAACTTGGTGCTTGTCGTCAAATCCTTAGCTGAACCTTATAAGTTACATACCTACTTAGTCCTGCAGCTTGGGTTAAACTCAGTTACTTTATACGCCCCTTGGTTCTCCATGAGGCAGTCTTCCCTGTTTGAACATGGTTTTAGGCAGAGATGGAAGGTTATCGAATGAAGTAGAAGAATCAAATTTAATTTCTGTGAAGAAATGGTTTACTGCAGGATTTACCATGGTTTCAAAGTTAAGATTCTTAAAAGGAAGAAACTGGTGGGTACCATAACAAGTGGTATCCAAGACTTGTTCATTGTCCCACTTGGCTATTAATATAGTAGGATTTCATCTTCCCATCCAACACTTACATCTGTAAATATTATCAGCATCCTGTCCTGGATGAAAACTCGAAGTACTCCCTCCTCATTGCTTGTGATATTTTACTATTAGAATTTAGTAATTGATATTTCCTCTCTGTAAATCATAGATCTTCTGATTTTCACAAAACTTAGCTTTAGGGAATTTTATAATAAGCGAGAACTTACGTTTCTCTGGCTGGTGGTAGATCATTCTTTCAACAAAGAATCAGATGGCCAGGAAAAAGTAGTAACGACGTTTTCATGCCTCATCATGTGCACTAACTAAAAATACTGGTTTGCTAGAAATGAAGAAATATGTTTTTCATTAGTAGAGTCAATGGCACCATTCTTAACTTGTTATATCATTTATGCTCAATTTCTTCCCTCTGCAGGTATATCTGATATTAGATGAGTTTATTCTTGCTGGGGAGCTCCAGGAAACAAGTAAGAGGGTAAGAAATCTGCTACCCTAATCACCTCTTACCCCCTCCCTCCCTCCCCCAGACGTAGGGCCTGTAGCTGGCCAATTTTTTGATCTTTTGATGTTCGCTAGGGCCTGTAGCTGGCCAATCTTTTGGTATTTTGATGCCCGCACACGCACACATATGTATATGTGTATATACATTTGTGTATTGACTGACATGTACATGCTAATTTCATGGTGGTAATTTTAAAAAGTATATTTAGCAGTGGTCCAAATTATTTCTGCTGAAGCAGGGTAACTAGATATTAGGTGTTGTTTGTCCCTCTTCCATGAGAAGACAGATGTTCTGGTTTTGTGTATATATATATATATTCCTTTGCTCTCATTCCTCACACCCTGCCCAATGGAAAAAAGAAGTTGATGCATATTTGATTCTGCCTCGACTCTATTATCCTATATTAGTTTGCACTAAACAACATTTTTTTACACGCCAGGCAATCATTGAGAGAATGGGAGAGTTGGAGAAGCAGGAGTGAAGATTTCTGTGCTTTGCTCAAGAGTCGAAACAAACACTTTCCTTTTCCTTCATCATCTGCACTTCTCTTCCGGCTGGTTGTATTTACTGCATTAGACATTCTGTATCCTGTTGATACCTTCATGTTGATGCGGCCTCATTTAATACAAGATTTGTTCATTCATACATTTAAAGGTAGTTTGCAAGTTTAAATATGAATGTCTCTTATCTTTTCCCAGTTTAAATATGAATATCTTTATCTTTTGTCAACTCCAGAGGCTATATTGTTGTTGAAAGTGGGAAAAAGAGTTATTACAATACGAAATTTCTTTATTTTTACTGGCCATCGTACTGTGGGACAACTTATATTTGCCCTTCATTCAGAGGGAGCTCCAACTCGAAGTATAATAGAAAGTAATTTTATAGTCAAAATTAGACTTTTTTTTGTTTTTGAGTATTGTAACACGTAAAGTCCACTCAATTCATGTTATAGCTCCATTAAAGTAAGAAGTATTACGAAACAATTTGCCAAACTGGGTTAACTGCCCCCCAAGTAACAGATAGGAGTAACAAAATTCAGATAGTTTTCGAGTAAAAATAGAGAAAATAAGTTTGACAAATAACATTCCAATTGATTATATTCTTTCTCCCTACCTTCGAACATGTTCAACCTCATCCGTTTAGCCCCCATCACATTGTATTTATCTATTTTATATACAGAACAATTTTAAAATAATATTTTTTACTTATCTATCAAACACAAGAAAATAAGTTTAAAAAAAACACTTTCCTGAACATTGCTGAAAGAAATTTAAAGCAGCAGCAAATTTTTTCATTGCCATTCTTCTTGTGTATACTACTACACGTCTTCCAAGTCAATAAACTTCTCAGACACAGATAAACTTTCTTTCCACGGAATCCATCTAGGCGAAAACCAACAACCATTTCTGAAGTTGTTTCTCTATAATTAATTGAAACTGAAACAGAATAAGTAAAGCCAAAAGCATCTAATGAGAGACACAAAATTTACTATATCCTCCCTTCTTTTGTGTTCCTTATATTCATGAACAGAATGAACACCTACTCTCATGCATAAGCAAAGAAAAGAATAAATCAATTATGATTTGCAGGAGGTCCGGTCTGATCTTTGGAGATGGCGACATGGTGCCATGACTCTCAGTATTAACGACGATCATTGCAAAGAAGCTGCAGTGAAGGGACACTATTGGGGTAGAGTCCATGTCCGCTTCCTTCCAAGCCAGAAGGGAAACTGTAATATTGTCCTCTGATCCTTGAAGTAGCTCGTGAAGTAGAAATGGACATTAGCTCCTGCTCGTTCAACAAGGGTGGAACATACTTGGAAGAAAGTGCTTCCATGGAGGAAGAAGAAGCTGCCAATTGAGCTTGAGAAGGCCCAAAGATAGGCATTGGTCGCCCTGCATTTTGCCAGTCTCGCATTTGTGAGGTAGAGACTCCACCAAACTTGTACTGAGCAGCGAAATGGGCATTTTGTAGTTCATTCTGCTGCGACATTTGTCTTGGTAAGGCCATAGTAGCTTCTCTTGACGGACAAAATGACACACCTCCAAGATATGGAGGCAGCAGAACCTGCAACTAGCCACAAAAGAATTGCCTTAATCTTCTAAACATGTATTTATTAGTAGTCCCACCACGAACTTATTCCTGAATCATTTTATGAATGTACGGCCCAGTAAAATGCAATAGATGACCAAATTTTACTATTAACACTTCTCAAACATTCCAAAAAAGGAGAAGGGGGATCAGAATGAGCTATGGTTCTGGGTGGTCTATGTTGGAAGCAGAATAGTGTTATCTAACACATGCTTTGCATGTAAATACATAGATATGTATGTGTGGGCAGGTGTCTTTAAATAGGTTCATGTATTATAGTCCCTAATAACTGCAGCAGGAACCATGACTGGCATTATGTTGTTTTTGTTTTACTTATTCCAGCCCCAAAGGTCAAGATTTCAGCATGTACCTACGCTGTTCTCATCCTGATACTACACATAAGAGGGGTAAAATAATCTATTTACTCGTGTTCTGTAAAAAACAGTATTTCGGAAGTTGAATTCAATTTAAAGAATATTCAGTATCTTAACAATTATTAAGTCATGAAACTGAGAATCTGACAAACTAGTTATGTTTCAAATGCAGCAAAGCAATTTTAATTAGAAGTCACCTGCTGAGTTGCTGCTGTTGCAGGATTGTAACGATAAGGTGCAGATGAATAACCATTCTGGGGAAGCAAGAAATGCAGGGCAGGATGTTTCTGTGAGGTTACAGGCATTTCAAGGTTATGACCATTAGTGCCTTTGATCACATAACTTCCAGCTGACAATGAAAGGAAATCTGCGTTCTGCGAAAGAAAGTGGATTATTATCGTGTATGGATGAAGAATATCACACATTACAGAAGATAACTAACCTGCTTTGCTAAAGAATTGAACCCAGATGTAGTAGAAGCCTGTTGCTGATCTTGGAGGAGTCTTTGGTGCAAAAGGATTGCATTTCTAACTTCAGTTGGATTCTTCTCAGCAGTAGAGGCAACGTTCCCAGTAGAAACAATTCCATGCATATCATTCACCTTTACAGTTGGGCTGTTCTGAATTATAGGAGGCTCTTGCTTCACTCCATCAGGTGATGAAGACTGAGAAGGATGCGAGGAGACTGTGTCACCTCTCATCGAAGTCTGTAAGCCTTTAGTCAGCCGACTTATATAAACATGAGCAGCACACCTCTTAAATGACTTCCTCAAATCAAGTGGAACTTGAGAATCCTGCATAATCAAATCAAATGAGTGTTCCACATAATTGTTCAGAATGGAACAAAGTACATGAGAGTAACTGAAAGCCATATCGAAGTGCTAAAACACCTTCATGGTTGGGAGACAAGATTTTGCATTTTGAGCTTGAGGATCAGAGCCAGTGCTTCCAATCCAGACAGGAAATTTGCCAATTGGAAACCTATCATTACTCAGTGCATGAGAAACCAAACAATATTTGTAGGCAAGAAAGAGTGCAGTAAGAAATGGGAACTTACTGTGGTGAAGAATCAAGTATGTCGGAACAAGATGACCCTGCTGCAGACAAGCCTGGCCACAACAATGAACCTGATCACCAAAACAACATTTCTGTTAATGTAGATATAAAATACACATGATTTGGATGACACCGTCTCTGATATATTACAACCAGTCATCAGAAAATTTGAAACTTGCAGGCTATAGTTATACCATTATTCCTCTTCTCCTTGTGTGTGTTTTGTTGGTTGGCTTGATAAGCAACAACCTGAATACAGAACAGTAAGATCAGTATTTATGTCACGTATTAACCAAAGAGTATAGATGTCCAAATGAAACTTACTTGTTGCGATGAAATTTCGAGCTGCTCTGTGTTGATGAATGTATCACATGGGGAAGCATCATGAAATGATTTTGATTTGGCAGCTTCTCCAGCAGAAACAGCTATGTCTGGAAACTGCTTCAACGCTTCAGCACTGAATTGGCAGCTGTTTGTCCTTATGTCCTGCTCTGTTGTTACAACTACACCATTTATGAAATACATTAGTTCGGCAAATGACCAATTATGGAAGAGACCAACATAGAAACAAAGAACTAACAAGCAGACCTCCACTTGCAATTACAGAAGCCTCAGGTTCCGGTAAGTCCAAAGATTTCACTTCTGGAAGTTGACTATTTATTTTGCTTTCGCTCAAGGTGTCAACGTCTGGGACCATACCAGCCAAAGCATACAAGGTTTCAGCCACTTCCTCTTCATCTTTGGTGATTGGACCATCAAGCTCCTCCTTTATACACCGACTTGAACCACAATGAGTCTGCATTTAAATCTCATTATCATAGATGAAAATTTTCCATTGAACAGCATATCATTCAATTGTTTGGTAGAGGAACCACAGAGGCAAAAAGAACTATTAAAAGGAAAAAGCTGCAAAATTTACAAGTCACTAACCAAATTAAGCTTAGACTTGTTGCCATATTTCCTTAGTGTTTCAGCTCCATCTGACATGCGAGTCGCCTTTTTGGAAATCGGCAAAGGTGGAGAGATGAGCTTGCGAATTCTCTTCTTGATAGCTACAAAGGGCAAAGGATCCAAGTAAACAACTTATGATCAATTGGAAGTCCAAAGTTTAACTCAAACAAGAACCATTCCACCTTATAAGAGAGTAAAATCAGAAACTTAGCCAGTATAATCACCCAAATAGCAGATTAAGTACTTTTTAAAGATTCCAAAGGTTTAAAAAGTGAAAGAAGACGAAGAAACATACAGAATCTTCTCATGCTTAAAAAGAAAGAAAAGGTGAAAAGGAATTTACTATAATTTACAAAATAAAGCAACAAGTGACCCACTTCCAAGCACTGGGCTCCAACTAAACCATAACTATTCCAAATAAGATAACAAACATAAGCAAGTCAGTAATTTCCAAATTCAATTCACCATAAAATACAAACCTGAACGAACTTTCCGAGGAACAGAAGCATGATCTACTCCATTACACTCATCAAAAAACTGCAAATCCAAAAGGGGCTAATAAATAAACAGACCAATTCCTATTTACAATGTTTTCCAGTATACTTAATTGAGCTAAAATATCAAACCTTTTTGGGAAACTTAAATCGCTTCCGAACAGAAACATTGGGATGAATCTCATCGTTATCATCAGACCTTGAACAACCCATTTCAATGTTGTTCATACTGGATTAGACTTCACCAACACCACTAAATTTCCCCTCTTCCACTTTCTTCGCAATTATTTCATTTCCTCCCTTACAATCTAAGCATCCAAAGCAAAACCCAGAAATATTATCAGAGAATTTTGTGTGAAAAACAGAAATCACAAGTAAAATCAAAACAAAAAGAAGGATAAAGAACTGTAACAGATAACCAAAACAGAAAAAGAGAGAGGAGAAAAGGAGGAATACAAGACGACACGCGTTTCTCAGCCTCGCAAACACCAAAATCCACATACAGATGAATAAGAATAAGAATATATTTGCAGAAACAGACAATAGACGCATTGATGGGTTTTGTTGTTTAGTAACCGTTTGATTTTAATACGAAGACCAAACAATAAAATTCACTTTCACACTTAAGCATTACCGATTCTTGTCCATTTCTGGAAAAAAACTGCAACAAAATTGAATTGAAAACAATTTTCTTTCCAGACCCAGCTACAATCAATTCTCTAATCATCAAACAATTCACACAAACAAAAACCTACAAAATTTCAGAACTTTTGGTAGTGAATCTAAAAAAACCCGAAACAGAAACATTAAAGGCTTTTGGGTTTTACAGTACTGACATTTAAAAAACTCTGAGAATGGTTAAAAAAGGAAGAAGAAGAAGAAAAGTGAATATGGTCCTTTATGTACAACGAATCTGGTTCTTCTTCACATAATAAAGCCGCTCTCTCACTGTGAGTCTGTCACACTCGTACTCATCAACCCCAAAAAGAAAAAAAGAGAGAGAAAGAGAAAGACAACACACACGCAAAGTACTAAAAAAAAAATCAACCCCATGTAGAGAAATTACAGTACCATCTCTATTCATCAACAAAACCCCATTAAAACAGAGAAACATATCAGATTACACGGATCAAATGTGCATTTTCTTCAGAAAAAGCAGAATCTCATCACTCTTTCAGATCGAAAAAGCAAAAATTCAAAATGCAGAAAACAAAAAACTCACTCATTTCCATGAAAAAAACAACAGAGAATCATGAAAAAATTAATCCAGCTTACAATCTGTTGCAACAACTCATAACTGAACAAGAACAAACAAACCAACAAACAAAAAAAAAGAATAAATTTTGATTTACCCAAATAGTAACGATTTAGATATCTGAGAATATTTCTGCTTAACAAACGGAAAAACCGAAGCTTTCGGTTTTTGATTACCCGATTCTCTGAAGATTTCACACAAAAACGATCAGTTACATACTCTGTTTTCTCTCTTTCTTTTGCGTTTTAAAAGGAATATTTTTAATTATTACGTCGTCGCAATATCTACGGACCATACAAACGGGATTTTCGCAGCCGTTGGATCAAAAGTTCCCGAGTCCCACGTGTCATCTACGTGGCAAATATATTTCTTACCCAAAATGCCAGCGTGTACATGTTCGAATTAATCGGCGATTCATTATGTAATACTACGGCGATTTAATAATCATTATAAATACTTTTAGGTTGGGGCCCACGTAGGGTAATGATTTTGATTCTCTGGCGCTGGGTGAAAGGGAGTGTGCTTCATGAATGATGCGTGAAGTTGAGAGCAATTCGGTTGAAAGGGACTGTGAAAATGACTATTTTAACCTTCGTTCACGATATCAAATGACGAAGATACCCTTCCATTTGAATTTAGAATGTATTCAATAATATTCAATATAAAGAAAGATTTGATTAAGTTATCCTATCTCTTTGAGAATGTGTAATGAATGACTTATATGCTTTTGAAGCTATTAAATAATAGTAACTTCTTCATGAGCTTTCTTGAAATTATGGATCTTGTTGTAAATTTTTAAGTTTTGAATCGAGAATTTTTAATGTGATTTTAAATTTAAAATAGATTGATTGACGTGATTGTTATGTAAAGTTTTATTATGAAATTTAAGAGCTTTAAGTGAGTTGGGTTTAGTATGTGGACAATACAAATGAACTAAAAGCTTAGTTATATAGTCAAAATATTCACCAACCTAGATCTTAGATAATGTCTTGGATTAATATTTTTTTTCACTTAAGTGGGAACAATAGTTAGAGTCTTTTTTGCTATTAACTAGGGTTGTGTTGGTCTTAACTAGAGGTCCAAATTTAAGTTTCCCTAGACACGAAGTCGCCTCTGTTAGAAAACGCTTTATCCTTCAATGTATGAATTTTCGGGGTGGATCCTCTAGGCTCCAATGTGAGTACCGACTACTGAGCACCGGAGGATAAACTCTTTGCATTTTATGCTCCTAAGAAACTCACTTTTTTTTTCTAAAAAAGAAAAAATAACTTTTAACATGAGTTTTGGGTTAGGATAACTGATCTGGATATACGTATAGGCCCAATACTTCAGCCCAAAACTTAGCCCTTTGACTCTTTACTCTTTAGTGAATGTAGTGTTTAGGCCTTTAGGATCCAAATTAAGTCCCGTTCACTGACAGTCTCTGCCGTGCCTGCTCTGCCGCCGGCTGTCGCTGCTCGCACGTCTTCTTCGTTTTCAGGTGAGTTCCATGATTGTGTCTAATTTTTTTTACAAAAGGAACAATTGGAAGTTGAATTTTCAACTTGAAAAGAACTGAACTATACACGCCATAATTGAATCCATACTAGTTCGAAGCGTGATTTATGCTAGTTGAAGACGTGATTTGGATTATTATTATTATCATTTCTCTGTATTTGAAGTTTCTGAACTCAATGTTCTTAGGTTAATTAGATATTTATGAGTCAATTGATTTTTGAATGAACCATTGCATAAAAATCAGATGTCGATGGTTATTTGTTAGGTTAAATAGGTTTCTGCTGCTGATTGTTTTCGTGGATCTTTAAGTTTTATATAGCTGTACTTTGAGATAGAAGGAGGGTGTTTGAGCTATGAAAAGTTCATTCAGCTTGTAAGTTTTTGATTTGCTTCACCTGGAACTAAATTCGAAGCTAGCCTAACTTATTTTTCTGTTTATTTGTCCCTGGGCACGTAAGAAGAAAGTTTGAGTATCTTCTCTTTACAAGAAAATAATGATAATTGCACATGTGACATGAGTTATGTGGCACTTTTGACTACAATTTGTATTTTATGCATGACAGATACTATTGTAGGGCATATAATTTAGTTAGATTCGTTTTTGGTTCTGCTTTGGACTGTTTTTCCTTGAGACGAGGGTCTATTGGAAACCACCTCTCTACCTCTGAGGTAGGGGTAAGGTTTGCGTGCTCTCTACCTCTAGGTATTTTGTTGTTGTAGATTTGTTTCTAGTGCATATGGTATTACTACAACATATTGAGTGTGTTCCCATAGTGGGGTCTGGGGAGGGGACAGACCTTCCTCTCCCACATAAAGTGCTACAACACATTGCTACTTACTAGACTTCTACCCTGTCCTCAACCTCGAAACCTTTCTATATAGGGTCATATCCCTAGTAAGTTGAAGTTGTGTCATGTACGGTCTAATCACCTCCCCTAGTTCTTTTATGACCTATCCCTACCTTTCTAACTCCTGTGACCGCCTATATTGGAATTGCACAGTTACCATTTAATCATTGAACAGTGAAATAGCCTTTCCATGAGAAATCTTTGAAACAGAAAACATGAACTGCTTAAAATCATGGTGAGAATTTCGATGCACCAAAATAAAAGTATCATGACAAAACTGAGCAGTCACTTAACACTAATGACAGTTACTTATGTGACATGGGTATCTTCTCTGGTACTTGAAGGAACATTCTTCTAGTTTAAGTATACATTTAGACTAAGTTGCTCGGATTCTTCACTCTGTATCGATACGATATGGTGGGATCTATGTCCGATTTGGTCAACCGATTTTGGGTACTTTGACCAAAATCTATGGGGAATGTCTTGACAGTTTTAATGATTTCTGTAATCAATACAAAATCTAAGGTGAAATTGAAGAAAATGGAATACCTTTTATATAGAAATTTATGTCTTTCCTTTTCCTTCAATCTCCTTCCAAGATTCTCCTCAAGTTCTCCACATAATATAGGTTTTTTTTTTTGAAACTGGTAACATTGTATTCCTCAGCATTAAGGGCTATGCTAGCCCCCTCCAAAAGTGTTAGTTACATAGAAAAACCAACAAAAAAAACAGGAATATTTTAATTATTTTTAGGCAAATCCCTGCACCCGTATCCATTCATAGATCCATATCCCTGAATCTTAAAAATTAGATCATAAAGGATCCAACCTCTGGATCCACACCCGCATTGGACACCCGCACCCGAGTCCGAGCAACTTAGCATTTAGTTCTCCTTTCTTCAGATTGTATATTATAAACTTGTTTTGATACTTTGACCCCTCTAACTTTTGAAATTGTTGCTTTTTGTGTACTGCAGCTGATATAAGCCCAAAATTGTAGCTTATGTTTGGACCAAACTACAAATTGGTTTAAGGTGCTCCCGTCGACAATACACTATTGCAGAGCGAGTGCAGAGGTCTGATATTTCTCGTCCAAGTGTCGACTCAACGCCGAGAGAAGTCACCTTTTTTGGTTTAAAAAAACCTCGAAACTGCCCTTTGGCTCATCTTAATGTAACTATTATTGGGACAGAGAAGATAAGAACATTGTTTTTGTGAAATCAGATGTCGACAGCGACATACCCACCACCTCCTCCGTTTTACAGGCTGTACAAGGACTATCTTCAAGACCCCAAGTCTGCTCCGGAACCTCCCCCTCCAATTGAGGGCACCTATGTCCTCTTTGGTAGCAACTACACTGTAAAGTCTCTCACCCGTTCCTCTACACCCTTTTGAAATCCACTCCCAAATGGGAAAAGGGGTGAAAAAGTCATGATACCCAATTGCCTACTTGTGCTTAATGTCGATGTATGAATGTATAAGGTGTATTTGAGGCCCATTCAAGTTTCTGGGTAGCTCTTCACCTCGAAAGATTTGGTTTTTACTTTAAACATTGAATCATATTCTCAATTTCATCACTTTGATATACTTTATATTGCTTATGGGGTAAAGGTATGGAGTTGATTCAATGTGCACTTAAAAAAAATACAAGAGAGTAGAGGGGGAAATGTCTGATGCTAAGATGAGGTTCAGTGAGATATTCAATTGACAATGATTTAGATTTTATCTATTCTGAAATATGAGTGAGGTTTCCATTAACGTTCTCACCTTTATCTTATGTTGTCTTGAACTGCAATGCATCAAGAGTATTTTTTCTAGTCACTCCTCTGTGTGCTTGTCTTTCGTGAATTTTGTTTGTCAGTTGTATTGCTGAAATTAAGCTGTTCGTTGTGGTTTGTATTAGATGACTATGTACAAGTTTGCTCCTTATTGTTTTTGCCATTGCGGTTTGCGCAGACTGATGATGTACTCCCAAACTTGGAAGAGCAAGGCGTGCGCCAATTATACCCAAAAGGGCCTAATGTTGGTAAAATTCGCAGCTATTCTCAAAAAGCCGTATTTGTTCCTACTGTGATATGTAACATGCATATCCTTTTTAAACATTTATAGTTAAAAGAATTTAAGAATGTGGATACACATAACACATTTGTACCTTATATATCATCCTGCATTTTCGATATGAATCTGCATGGAACATGACACTCGTTTTTGTTTCCTTATCGTAAGTTCCAAGTAAATATCCTCTACAAGGTCAATCTATATGTCTAATCATTTCTGTTCTCTTTCCCCAAGCCAGTGACCAGAATAAAGAATAGGGAAATAGTTATTAAGTTTGAGCCCTTTAGGTTATCCAAAGTCTTAGACAAAGGATAGCAATCAAGTATCCTACGCATTGCAAAAGTTAATTGCAGAATCAATTTCATAGTTGAAAGGATGTACCATGATGTCCCCTTTATTGGATGCTGCTGCTTATGGGATGCTTCCAGAGATAAATTTTAGGTGCTATTCTGTTGCTTCTCAGAAAAAAATATTCGTTCTTATTCTGCTGATTCATGTTACAGATTTCAAGAAAGAACTAAGAGCACTTAACAGAGAATTGCAGCTACATATATTGGAGCTTGCTGATGTTCTTGTAGAGCGCCCTTCACAATATGCCAGGAGAGTGGAAGAGATATCTCTGATATTCAAGAACTTGCACCACCTACTCAATTCTCTGCGTCCTCACCAGGTGATCAATTGGTGAATCTGAATGTCCAAACATTTCTGGGTCTTAGCATGGCTATAGAAGATAGATGATCTCAATTATCATTTACCTTTGTTTCTTTCTTTTACAGGCTCGAGCCACACTTATCCATATTCTAGAACTTCAGATACAACGACGTAAACAAGCAATAGAGGATATCAAGCGGTATGATGTGGTTTGCATGTTCTTTTTATCATATATATATTTAGCTTCTTCCTTCATTAGATTTAGATGAAAACTCGTGAGTTTTTTAAATGAGTTCATAGTGTGCTGCAACAAACAGTTGCAAGTGAAAGAATTCAGTTTCCCTTTAAGCTGCTTCAGTCACTTTCAATTATACAGATTATATATGTAATTACTATATCAAACTACCTCTCAAAATGAAAAGAGAGATGTATTTACCGTTACTCTAATAATGTGCATAAATTCACAAGTTGTTGGAGTTGAGGCAGACTGTTTAATTCTTTCTCTATCTTTTTATCGTGGTTACTATGATTTAAGTCATGATGTTGGTTTCTATTTGCTTGTATAGGAGAAGGGAAGAAGCTCAGAAGCTTCTAAAGGAGGCACTTGGTACCCTTGAGGGACAGTAGCATGCTCTTTAAACTTTACACACAGCTGGCAGAGTAAACTTGACGAGTTTCTTGACAATTAGAGTGTCCAGAATGCTTTGAAATTACAGTATAGAAATCATTCAGTCCTAATGTGAAATTTTCTTTATACAGTGACAATGCTTTTATGTGGCCAGTGATATGTCACAATCCAGTGCCAAAAATTTGACGTTTCAGTCATTGAGGCAATACACATGTGTTTATGTATGGTTCGATTAAGGGTGTGTAAAAAGATTTAGGTGATCCATCAAACATGTAACTATTCTGATATTATGTTTATTTCTTAAAAAGTAGTCTCATCACTACTATTGAACATGTGATCTTCCTCATCTTTTGTTGCTGGGCGGTGTGAATAGCTCTTCTAACATCAACATGAATCAACCTTGGAATTTGAATAGGCGTCATCGCAGATGTTGTTGAGCAAATACTTAAAAGGATTGTGGCGCAAGGTCGACCATTTGAAAAAGAAAAGTGTACATAGACTACAGTAGAAAGCAGTGTTGATCAGCAGACGCACAGTATCCTAAACAACAACAACAATTACTATGCCTCAGTCCTAAGGTTGAGGATTCACCAAGGGAGCGAAACGGTGGGAGTTCCAAGGGAAGGCTTACAATTTTTTATTCCTGTGACATAACCCAGTAGATCAGCTAACATCACACATCTATTGGCATTCCACATACACCCTTAGACGAAAACCAGATTAATTGGAAAAAACGAAGGAAGTGTACAATCTCGTAGCCAATTCATAGAAAATTCAACATTTTTGCGACAAACTAAAAGAGAATGTTTACGAATTGCAAAAAAGAAAAAGAAAAAAAAACATGGCATTCGAAAGAAAAATTGTGTACAAGGATATTAACAAGTCCAAGAAGCAGATCTTTTCATGGTAGGCTTCATCTGTTTATCTTCTTCAAGTGATATCATACCCAAATGAGATGGATCTTCCAGCATCATTCTAGCTACCAAGTAACCAGCAATGGACCATGTCTGGAACTTACGGGCCTGCTTTCCGATAAATCGACCAAGCTTCCCATCGTAATACTCTGGCCAGCTATCTTTTAGTAAACGCGATTCAGCTAGTTCAATGGCCCGTCGTGCTATTTGGGGTCGACCAGTCTTGATAGCTGCTGCAGTAAGGAGCCACAGAAGAACTAGACACAAAACCACGCAAAGCAGTATTAGCATAAACTTGTTAAGCTACCAAAAAGTAGACAGATATATTGGTCATCGTGATGTGAGATGAAATAGGAAACTATTGTTAAATAGATTCAAGTACTTTTGGTGTTATATAAGCAGGAAGAAAGTATAACCTGGCCAAGTTCCACCATTGTGGTAACTCCAACTAGTGTTTTTAGGATCGCATCCTGTTACAATTCTCCATTCATGACCTTCCATAGCGGGATAACAGATTTTCAGTGGCATTTCTCCAACTAGCTCTTGCCATCTTGATTCAACGAGATCCATTATGGCGGAAGCTTGCTCAGGTGTAGCCAAAGATGACAAGATTGAAATACAGTTACCCAAACAAAACCAACGGAAGTCCATGTGAGCAGGACTAACATTTCCGATGAAGTAACCACCACGAGTTGGCATGAAATCAAAAACCCACTCCGGAAGGGAATCTGGCATCACATTAAACTTGTTTACTGCGGTGTGAGAGTACTCTTCCGTTTTGTAGCGGTATATATCATTCAGTTGTTTTATATCGAGCCAATAGTAACTTCTCATGTGAAAGCTCAAAGCATGAAGGCGTTTAATTATTGCATCACAACACTCTCTGTTTTCTTCGTCGTGTTTAAGGAGAAACAAGGCACATCTTAAGGCCATAAAGAAAAGTGCTTGTATTTCAATGGGATAACCATAGACACCCTGGGAACAATATGAAACAAAGTGCTTATAACATGTGAGTAGTGGATATTTTAAAGAAAGTTGAACTGAAATAATTGAGAATTTTAAGATGTACAAAAATTCATTATGATTATGAGAAAGAGTAGAAGAAGCAGTCTTCTTATTGATCCAGTGTAATCCCACAAGTGGAGTCTGAGGAGGGTAGAGTATACGCAGACCTTACCCCTACCTCGTGAAGGTAGAGAGGTTGTTTCCGAAAGACCCTCAGCTCAAAGTGCAGCATATCAAAGTAGTTATGAAAAAGGAGATACAGCAGTGAAGAAAACATGTAAATTAATAAGGAAAGCACTACATAGCACATCGAACTCAAGCGGTAACTGAAACACAATAGAAAACAGATGGTAACAGATATCAAAAGCAAGAAACTACGTGTATACGACTAATACTATGACAGACACACTGCTACCAGACTCCCACCAAGCCTAATCCCGCTGGAAAGCGAGAAAAAGCTCAACTACCTATTTCTTAACTTCTAGCAAAGGATGTGACATCTCAGCAGAACTCCTGTTCGAAGCCTAACTTAACTAAGTCAGAATCAGAATCACTGTCATTATGTAATAAGAAATAGAAAATCAAGCATGTAATAAGTATGTGGGCTAACCAAATCTTGACAAATTATATATGCATTCGATCAGTTATACCATTCTAGAAGTAACAGTTGATAGCTATCTCAGATCAAGAATAAGAAGAACTGAAAAATCACTGTCGTCATGTAATATTAAGTAGAAAATCAAGCATGTAATAAACAGAATATAAGGCATGACCATAAGTCAGATCTAGTTAAAAAACGATAAAGAGCGGGTAGTAGTACATCAGACTGACCATTCTGCGATCAATCATAGAGCATCCATCAGCACACAGCAGGGTTGGGAATGTATCAAATCCTTCAGAAAGACATAATTCAAGAATCAGCCTTATACCCCTTTGGCATTCTGGCATCTCAGCCAAAGAAGTGTCCCCTGTAGACTTTGTGTATGCACGAAGTAGTATAATCCACCAGAACCCTGAATCAACAGGAGCAACTCTACCAATAGCACTTTCACCGAAATCAGCAGTTATAGTCTCATAGTTCCTAACAGGATCATGAGATACTTTAAAACTTGCAGGCATAACTCCATCCCCCAACTTGAACTGGTCTATCTTCTTCTCCCGAGATTGGAGGCGCAAGGTTTTCAAAAGAAAGTTCTTCACTATATCAGGTTCACCATTCATCAAGAATGCCAAAGCGCTGGGGACAAAATCTCTGACAAAAACCTGGCAAATTTTAAGTCAGCATTGCAAATTGCAAGCAGAAGGTTGTCATGTACACAGAGAAAGACGACTATGAAAGGATTTCAGAAAGCTGGGCCCATCAGTAAGCTGGTTTTACCACTGGAGAATATCTAGAATCTGGTTTTAGATCAGAGGCAAAAACACTCAAAGGTTCATTGGGGCTTTAAGCGCAAATAAGCATGAATAACAAATATGGACAAAGAAAATGATTATTTTTTTTGTGATAAAGTGAAATATCAATTGTTTAGTGTCACCTCTTCATAAGAGGTTCATTGGCAATGAAAAGTATGTCTTAGAACCTTGCTAACGACACTGAAGCGCACATTAAGCAAGAAAAAGCGCTCGACACATTTTGAGTCCCACTTCATGGCTTAAGTGCGCCTTTGACAATATTGGTTCTACGTAAGTTTTTATGTAAACTATTTGAACAATTTTTGATGAAGTGTAAACTATTTGAACAATTCTGTCGGTCAAGCTCAGCTCATATTCATTGAAATAGCTGGGCCTGCAAACTATACCCCCGCTTCATCTTATCAGTCAACCGTAAACCAATCAATTGCACTGATAACTATAGTGTGGACATAGGAATTCAACATTTTCTGTTTATTATGTAAAGAAACATCTAGTACAACTTTTCAGAGGACATCCGTCAAATCAAGTTCCATTGAAGCACATAATTGACCTGCTTCACGGGATATTAAATCGCAACAAAATACATAAAGACAAACTTGTGTCCATCTAAGAACTAGAACAGTAAGCATTTTACCTGATCATAGTTAAGTTCCTCAGCAGAATTATCTATAGCAGCAATAGTTCCCACAGGTTGATCTCGGAAGTTAACAATAGAACGCCTCAAAGCTTCCCATGCTTCGCCTATTATAGGATGCGGTTCATATCCGAAGGTTGATCTGGGTGTGTGTATGCCGGACCACCTTCCTGGTGAATACACTCCAACCATATTGTCAAAAACACGAGAAGAGTTCTCCGAATTTTTGTATACCTGACGTGGCGGTGAATGAGTCATTGACATTTCGCTGAAAGATCTTTCATCGAACGACCTCTTCCTTTCAATATTAACCTGTCTTGGCCTTTCCAGCAATCTGGCCAAATCTTCCTCGATTTCAAACAAGGATGGAGCAGCTTCCGCTTGTCTTGCATTCCCATTTTGAGACACATCCACAGGGCTAGGCATCTTTCGATACTTCCAAAAGTCCTGGACAATAAGAAATCGAATCCAAAGATCTGCATATCACCAATGAAATAAGAAAACTTTTAAAAATTCGTCCACGTAACAAAAGCTTAGTAAACACAAAGCTATATAGCTCAGACTCTGCAAAAACATCAAACAAGTGTGTCGGATCCTCTTTTGGAGGATCCATTGGGCTGCAACAACATTTTTGGAGTGTCCGAGCAACATCGAACGAGAACTTACATAAAGAATGCAATCAACTTGTAATAAAGAGTGCAATTAATGCCTCTTAGACTAGGAATACATTAAATTGAAATATATACCAGATCAGAAAATCAACATTTTTTTCCTTTACAAGCAATATTCACTGTAAATTTGGTTTAAGTCAACTTGAGCAAAATTAGAGCAAGTTCATTATACATAATTTTAATTAATTAGTCATAATCATTAACTTAATCAAACAATCAAAGTCAAACTACTGTTAGATCTTCTTTTCCTTTATCAATTTACTTATTTCTTTTTAATTCATATTTTGATCAATCTAGCAAAATACTCAAACCACCACAAAATGAAAAATCTCAAATGCAGAAAAACCTTAATATCATCGAAACAAACGGAAAAATGAAAAACTAAGGAACATAGTTTGAACACAAAATAAATAACCTAGGAGCTGGTAATAACAACCTCAAAGCTATCGGCGGCGGCGGCGGCGGCTACGGCGAACTTCAGTGAGATCTAAGGTTTCCGAGGAAGGCACCAACCATGAACTACCAGAAAGACTTTAGGACACAATGGGTCTTTCACTATATACTATGTTGGAACTGTGTGAAAAAAATTAACCGGGAAATGAAGGTCAAAAGACAAGTTGACTGGATATACCGGTAAGATTTTGTGCTTGTGACGTATGGGATGGTAACTGACACGTAGGATTGTCTGGGAATATCCGATTAGCAGTTCTGGGGTAATCTCCGACCAACTTTGTCCGAAAATGGATTAGTTATAATTGTAAATAGTGATTAAGGAAATTATTGCTGTTGTTGTGAACGATATTACGATCTTAAGTATGATTAGTGATAACGATTAATCCCAGATCCTCGCGACCTAATAAGTTTTCATTAAAACTACCTTTAGTTTTTCTTTTTTAAAAGGATGAAATTATAATTCTTTTTATCTCAATTTATACTACTCACTTTTCTTTTTGATCAGTCTCAAAAAGAATCTGACATTATTATATTTGGTAACAATTTTAACTTTAAATTATTTATTTTAATTTAATGAAATGATTTATAATTACATAAATATAAATAACTTATTTTAAACCGTAAGTTTCAAAAGTTTTTTTTTCTTTTTAAATTATATGTCAAATTAAATTACCTCACATAAATTGTGATTGAGGGGTAAGAAATAATGGTCAAGAACAAATTAGTCATTTATTCCTTTTTTTTTTACTTCAACAATGATGATAGTTGAGGTTGGAAAACAAAATAATTATAGATGAAAAGTGTTTTAATATACATATGGCGATAATTTAGATAAAATAAACAACGGATAGTTGAAATGTGAAAAATTCACGAAAAAATGATAATTCTAGTTTCTACCATTAGCTCAATTATTAATGTTGGAGAATTGATAATTTCTTAGATGGTAATTTTCTTAAACATTTATTACGAGATTAACTAGAATGTAATTTAAAACATTCTTTATGTAGTTTCTAAGTAATTAGACTTAAACTTCGTAGATACTGATGTTAGTAATCTCAACGATTAGATGTGTTAATCGTTCCGTTTTAAAAATCTGGATGAATTAGCCCTTTTTTTCTAATGAAATTATTTTGGTATTATTTTGTGTGTGAGAGAGTTATAACTTTTTAAAACTAGCAAGACAAAGAAGCATAAAAAATAATTTAAATAATCTACGTAATATAAGATATTAAAATAGAAAAATCATGTAACTTTCTTTTTCGTTTAATTTTGATATTTTTATTCATTTTTTGTGCTTATTTCCATGCTTTATATTGCTACCTACTCCTTTGTCCCATTTATTTTTGTTGTTATTCTTCTTGCTTTGTTTTCAACGATAAGATTAATTTAGTCATTTCATAACTTCGATTTGCATGAATCTTCCCTCCTTTAAATATATGGTACAAAAATTAATTAATTATACCAAGTTGATTTTCTTTATTATTTATTTAAGCGTCCAATCCAACCTAGTTGAAAATTTGTATTGATGTGAAAGCTACTTAATATATCCAACGTGTAATTAGGTGTAATTTGGACGGCGATGCTGATTTTTACAACGTGAATATGAAATTATATTAATTAATTAGTAAAAGATTAATGTTAAGTAATGCAAATCCTATTTTTGATGTCAACAGATAATGTTGATGTATCTATTTCAAATTAGACCACCCCGTAAAGATATTACCCCACACCAACCTACCCATGTTTCACTTAATATATATTATCGTGGGAAACAAAAAACTTAAATAAACGTAAAGACTTTTGATATACTAGTCTTTAATTATCTCTTTCTATCTGAATCGAGATCGGTTATAAATTTTTTTATATATATAATCTTTTTTTTTTTACAATGACATTATTTATTTGGATATCTTTTTAATTGCTATAGTGAGATGATGTAATAAAAAACATATCACATAACATAATATAAAAGTCGTTTTTAAGAAAACTTGACAATTATAAATTTATAACAAGTAAAATATTGTTATAGGTGATGATTATTATAAGAATATCTTGTGCTATGCATAAGCGGATTAGAAATTACTCGACATATCCTCCTAAGAAATTACTATTTATCTTTGATTTTAGCATGCGCTGCAAAAAGAAGAAGAAGAAGAAGAAGGTGCAATTGAGTTTACAGGTAGGAGAATGACATATGTGACTAATCTAATATGCATAATATAACACGTTTTTAGTTGAATAGGTTTGTTATTACTCATTATTCACATGTCACAAACGTTTGTAGTTGTAGTTTTGAAATCATAATAATTCGATATGATTTTCGAGTAACCTAACATGACACATGTGTTGAGTGTAACAAGAAGCCATATCTTTGTCATGATTTTCATGTTACGACTTTAAAATATATCGTTTATAACTTTGAAATCATAGAAAGATGTATTATGAGTAAAAACGAATAAATAAAGGTAAGATACTAGAAAAAAATTAAATAAGTTCAAATAAAGTACCATAAGTTAAAAAAATTCAAATCATGATGATTTTATATGATTTACGAGTTATTAAATATAATAATTTGATTGAATATAACGAAGTCATATTATATGGAACGCAGTTAGATTTCAAATTATATTGTATCACGATTCGTGTAGTATGATACAGACACTTACAAGGGCTCAAAAGGAAGCAAGCCCAAGCCCAAACCGTAAGTTCAGGCCCAAGCCTCTGACTCCTACGCTGTAATTGTGTTCGTTTCAGATATCATAAAGAGTGCTGTATTTGACCGTTGAGGAAATTTTCGAAACTCAACGGTTCTACGCTCCATTGCGCTCTCTTTCTCTTTCAAACTCTAAAAAATTCTTCAATCTGCAATGGCGAAGTCCAAAAAACCAAAAAATTCTTCGGATAGAGAAAAATGGAACAAAGTGTTCAACGCTTTAGTTCACATGTTGAAATCACAGCAGACGCAGCTTGAATCCCTTGCAAAAGAGAGAATGATACTTGAAGATCGGATAAAATTACAGAATGATCGATGGGTATCTGATATTGATAGATTTCAAGAACAAATTTATGAGGTTACTTTGATTTTCTTCTTGAATTTTGCATTTTTACTTTATTTAGGGTTTTGATTCGTTGGAATTTTAGGGATTTTTGGTATAATTGGGGTTTTTTTTTTTGGAAAATTGGGTTTGCAGATGAGGAAAGAATTTACAATTCAAGAGATGGAGCGCATGCTTGAGGTTGCGAAATCTGAGTTCGTTGTTGGTTTGAAGCAACGAGATGTTGCCGTGTTCCAAAGAAAGTTCGGTGAGTTACATTTGAAAAAAAGAAACTTTTCCTTGCCCTAAGCTTTGTTTGGTTTATCTGAAATTGGAGGATTTCATGGAAATTTGATCAAATTGTGTATCTTTATTTCCATTGTTGTTTATTTCCTGACTCACTTAGTTTAAAATCAGGTAGGAAGTAAATTTCTTATTGAGATGGACAGGGGTGGCCCAGTGGGAGCATGGGGGTTCACGAACGTGTTAAAATTATTTTTTATGCATATATAGCATACGTTGAATCTCCTTGGCTTCTTTGTGTGTTTACTCCTTCGTACTTTGAACTCCCTGAGTAAAAGTTCTGGCTCCGCGCCACTAGCTATGTAGAGTTCAAAGATGGTAACTTTCACTTTAAAGTTGCCCTTTTTTTTATTTTTCTGTACTTGATAACAATGATGCAATTTCGTGATTACTGCCTTTGATAACTTTTATGAGCCTTATTTTGCCTCTAGTTTGTGCTGGGTTTTAACCACAAAGTACAGTGTCACTGCCTAAACTATGGTGCCTGTTTAAGACAATCAATTTGATAGTGGAGCTTGAACATACAATTTCTTTACTTATTCAATATGGCTATCTCAATAAACTTTTAGGAACCCAACTCTGAATAAAGTTGCATAAAATGATAATTATTTTCTTTTAATAACTTAGAAATCCTAGAGGACTAGTGGTCCTCGTGTCATATAAATTGAGAGGGAATAGAAACAGTTATGTCTTAGGACACTGTGCATGCGTCATATAAGTTGGAGTGGAATAGAAACAGTTACATGTCAGGGCTTCTATCAGTCCACCCTATTTCCCGCTAGATAAGTTAAATTCTTTCAACACACTTTTATGAACCCAGCACTGAAATAAAGTACGTCGCAGCACTTCATTCAGTTTGTTGAAGTCTATAAAGGTCCCCAAGAAAGCTGAATGGCATACAATCCCCTGACTATTTGCTAACTTTCTCCTTCTACAAACTATGGCTTTAAGTCGTTAACCCAAATAATATAGAGAAGGAAAAGGAGTCTAGGACAGAGAAGTTATGGTCTTTTATGGCGTTCATTCGTGTTTTTTTTTTCCTGTCATGTGAGGGAGTGAGGGATGGAAGGAAGAAGGAGAAAATTAAAGGGAAGAGACCTTAGGGTGGGGGCTTTGACATGAGTGGTTGAATTCTCAATCCGAGACTGGAAAAAGGGCATGTTACTTCTTTTGTTTTCTCTAGTTGACTCACTTTCTCGGACTGACTCACTTTCACTTGTACACATTTCAACTCTAAAATTTTCTCTTTGCATCTCATCTCAGGGCACACTAAACTTTCTTTTCGCGTATCTTCAAGCTTGTCTAAGTGGATTATTTAAATTAGCAAGAATGGAGTTTCTGCGTGTTAATCAAAAAATTATGCAACCACATATCGATACACACTTGAACACACTTCTTTATGTATAAAGTTATCAGTTCAGTTCCAATTTAATTTCTAATGACCCTTAAGCGGTCTTCTTTTTTAAAGGGTTTTTTCAAGACCAATGAAACCAAAAGCAAAATAGAAAAATTTATAGTAACTATTTTTTATTGCAAGAGGCTATTTTAGATGTTTTTACTCTTGAAAGATAGATGTCTCCCCATCCCAGGGTATCAGTAGCCTTTATTGTTCAAGGGTAGTCGATAGACATGATATTTTAAGTTATATCATCCCAGCATGCAATTTGGGAACTTACTTACTTTTCACCTAAAATGTGCAGAAAATGCAGATAGTGAACTGGCTGACTTCAGAGAATGGTTTGACTACCTCTCT